AAATTTAAAAAATGAAATATCATTTTATTCTTTTGATCATAAAAATAAGTTAAAATAATATTATATATATAAATTATGTTAAAATGAAATGTGAATTATTATTTAGAAAAATTTAAATAATAAAAAATCTTGACTCCTGCATTCTTTCCTCCGCTATAGGAAATCACTTTAAAGAAACACTTCTGTCAGGTTAAGAACAAGCAACAGTCCTGGATAACCAGAGATCTATGGATTATGTTTCATGTTTGTTATGAAAGATTTTATTGCTCATGAATCATATTTCAAAAGTTTGTTTTTTCTAATGCTTAAGACCCAAGACTCTGTTAACTACTGCATGGTTATGTTAGCCATTACAGCTAACTACTGCATCAAACGATGATCAACAGAATCACAAGTTGCATTTTTCACATACACTTAAATGTTGTTATTATCACCTTCTAACAGTATATGTGAATTCACTGGATTGAGGAAGTTTATTATGACATCATGGTAACAAATATCTTTTGGCTCGAATATGACCTTTCTGGAGGGAATCAACAATAGTGAGGTTGATTGATACAGGAAACAGAAAACTTATAAAAATTAAACACACTCATAACCAGAACATTCCACTGCTACGTTTCTTTTGTTGGGTGTTGCTGACACAAGAGAATGACTTTCTTTACACTTTGCCCGCCTTGAGATCTTCCTGCTTCCGCTCCTGCAAAGCCTTGCAGCCACTGACTTAAAGCCACTCCTCATGAAGCTTACTATTGCAGTGAGAATCTCTCTGAAATGTGAAATTGAAATTACAATTCTAGCAAATAATTTAGATAAAAGGATGCATGTGGCTCAATACACAACAAATACTAAAAAGGTTAGCCAGATAGGCAGCCAAAAGTAAAAGAAGAAATTGATGTTTAACTTAGAAAATCAGTCAATAATCCTTTTGCAATATAGCAAGACAGCAGCATTTAATTGTTCCACATTTTATCTCACCTAACACAAACTTAGAATAAAGAAATGAAATACTTTTCACATATCAAGTTCAAACGTGTGTATATAACAACAAAGAATAGGAAGACCCTTATTAGTTCAAGAACAACCTTATCAAGGTTCAGAAACTCAGCCCAGTTAAGAGTATAGCGCAAAATTTTCTACACTACGTAGAACAGGATTAGTATAAAGCATTTACATGAAAAAGCAGTCTGAACAAATCAGGGATAAAAAATGAAAGTAATTTTGCACTTACAATGGTGAGCAAGGAGACCGACCCCCATTTACATAATACAAGAATAAGAACGAATCGTAATGTTGGCCATTGATCAAATAAAACCCCTGCAACCTTCTCACACATTTGAAAGACATTTTCTTGTACAAATTGATTGCAGGGTTATTGTAAGAGATTACATGCAAGTAGACAGCTCGGCAGGTTGGAATACTTGAAGCATATTTTATGACCTCCCGAATCAGAGAAGAAGCTGCATGTAAAGCACAAATTAGACTGCCAATTACATAATAGAGGACTTCAAAAAACTTGATTTGCAACACTCTTACCTATTCCAAAACTTCTGTATGCTTCCACGACTCCAAGCGTCAGAACATAGACTAAAGTTTGGTCAGATCTAGCTGAGTCATATCCAAGCATGTCCACTATCTACAAAAATAACATTCATGCAATTAAAATTCACAAATCATCAGCAAACAGATTAAGCTTTCAAACATCTACGCCTTAAGTAGTAGGGCATACCGTGTGGAACAGTTTGAACAGGTTTATTACAAGCAAACTAAGGCTATGTTTGGTTTCAGTTTGGGGTTCCTTACTCAGCTTCGTGACATTTTTTCTTACTTTCGATGTATGTTTACACATTACAATTTTGCAAGGAAACTTAGTTTTGTAAAAGCAAAATTTGGGTCACAACTTAACTTTAA